ACGTAACGTTTATCGTAGAAAAAGAAAAATTTACGTAAGAAAAATTTATGGATTCTTTTTTTTCCGTTAAATATTAATAATCATTCAATAATGAAAAAATGAAAAATAGTATCGCGATAACGATGTAATCTCATGGTTCGTTTCGAAAATATTCTCGGGTCTATCACTTATCTTTGAACAATCTTTTATTATCGAAATTAAAATTCATCGATCGGATATGCATATATATATATATATATATATATATATATATATAGAGATGAAAACAACAACTGTTGAGTAAATTTCTTAAATTTCTTAAATGGAAAATTATTTTAAAGAAAAGAAAAAACACTTGGTTTGGTTCAAACTCATTTATTAATCGGAGCCAAGATACAGTCTGTCCTCGAGGCAGTACTTTTACAATAACATGGTATATTATATTTCTTGAAAAATAAGAATTGTACTAGATTAGTAATAGTATAAATCGAGAGTATTAGATATTTCGCTGCATCTAAGGACAAAAATTTCATGTACAATATATTAGATTTACAGATTCAGGCCACAGCGTCGAAATAGGATATTTAGACAGAATTTAGACGTGATGAACATTCGATGCGAAGGAGGATACAGAGCGAGTGGGGGAGAGAGGAAGGTGGAGGGGGAAGAGGTAGGTCTAAACGTACGGTCGTTCAACGATACGGAACGCACAGAATTATAGGTTGGAAAATATTTGGCCGTACGTTCGTGCGAAAATGAAAATTCTCGGATAATATATAATTGTAACGATGGATCGATTTGTTGAAATTAATAACAATAATAATAATAATAGATGAAAAATAAATTCGCAAAAACAACTCCTGTTGTCCTCTTTTTTTTTTATCGAGCTAGAAGAAGAGAAGAATCGTGCGTTATATCGCGAAAAGAATTTCTAATTAAATCGAACGACGATATTAAAGAGACGAACTAACTTTACAACCGGATAAATCTGCACGTGCGTGTATGAAAAATAATTTCTTCGATCGAGCATACGATAAATCTCTGCTTTTTATGATTTCCTGCCCTGCGTTACCTCGGCACAGTGAAGCGAAACGAAATATTAGGAGTTAAAATTTGGATAATGCATTAATCTCCAATCAATAATTATCTTTATATAGTTTATCGTTCTGTATCGTATCTAGTAGTTTTTAAATTACTTCATTTATTACAACAATAAATTATTTTCAAACATATGTCAACCTGTTTGATATGATAAATAATTCAGAATCACCTAAAACGATAGTCTTTATACAACAAGTGTTAGAATATGTTATATTATCAAACACTTAAGTAATAATGTATTTCTTGTTTCTTGTCTGCAACTATTATACATTTAACTACTATTCTATTTTTAGAGCGGTAAACAACTTTTTCTCACTTTCACAAAAGATCCGAGAAGGATATTTTTATCCGCGTAATACACTATTGGTTTCTTTTTCTTCTTTTATAGGATATCGGTATAGTAGTAGTAGTAGTAGCAGTAGTAGTAGTAATAGTAGTGTAGTAATAGTAGTAGTAGTAGTAGTAGTAATAGTAATAGTAGTAGTAGTAGTGGTAGTGTAGTAATAGTAGTAGTAGTAGTAGTAGTAGTAGTAATAGTAGTAGTAGTTTCCCGTTTACGTTATATATATATTTATAATCACACGATAGCGGTTTTTTTGATTTTTTTTGTTTTTTGTTTTTTTTGTTTTTTTTTGGGGGGGATTTTATTTTATATCTCAGAAAATCTGTGGCGTATCGAGTTGCTGGATTTCGAAGACTATCGAGACTATCAAGACGATAAAAGCTGTCGCGAGAAAAGATAGTGGTTTAATAAAGTTAAACGAATCAAAGTAGAATTAATTCTCGGTTCTCTTGTGTTTTGTTATACTTGTGTGTATGTGTATAATATATATATATATACATATACGTATATATACGTATATATGTAATGTATATCACAATCCCAAAATTCGAAAATTCCATATGGATATTACAACGATATTCGAGCAAGTCCACCCTGTTTCTTGCCGTGGACCACAATGGTAATATTAATAGTAAATACGTAATCTCGTGACAAAAGGTATTTATGGTTGTTTCACCAACTAACCTCTACTTACGTATATTGTCCGAGGGAAATTATATCAAGTAGTTTGTTTGACTCAACTCGAAGAAATTGCGATCTAATTAATTCTCTGCAGGACACGTTATATAATATAAGTTTTTTTTTTTTTTTTATGCGGGTGATTAGTACCATTAACATCAACTATACAATTATTGCTATGGAAGCGGTACGACGATTCAGAATCTCGATAAATTCAAGTGAACTTACGCGATACATACTATATACGGCGCATACGTATGTATATGTATAATATATATTGTCTTTAAAATAATCTAATCTACGTATAATTTTTTAAAATTACAGTAGCTCTTCTTCCCTTCCCTCATCGTACCATAAATTCAGTTGAATTCATCATCGACGCTGAACTAGCGTAACTTACAACACTTGTTATTATACAAACAATACTCTTTGTTTTAACGTATAATATTTCCTCTACTGCATTTGTTTTCCTTTATGTACATAGCGTATCTAGCGATAACTACGATTAATAACAACTAATATATAGTTTATCAACGATGCGACAGGTTTATCTCGATCGATAATACTAATATAATCCCGAAGATCCGATACATCGTAGGTAAATCATATATTACAACACTGCATTCAACTTTTACTCAATAACGCTATTATCTCGATTAAATTAATTTAATTTACCTTTATTGTCAATACATTCGGAACAACGTCGCTGCCAATTTCGATCTTTTTTTCTTTTTCTTTTTTTTTTTTTTTTTTTTTTTTTTTTTTTTTTTTTTTTTTTTTTTTGTTTTTTTGCTACTTCATCTTTATCCTCGACAAATTAACGTGTTTTTCATTCGTTCCCTTTTTTACAATGGGAAACGGGATGTACAAGATGTTCGCGTCGTTACAGGACGTCCGAATGGATTAACGAATATAGCGATCGGTTAAAAGGCGAATTGTTACATAATTGTGTATGTATTGACTCGCACGTAGTTGAATCCTATGTCTGCCTAAGATAGTACTTGGTTTCCTTTATATCTTATTTAACCTATATATGCGCTATAATAATTTGTTTTATCTCGAATATAGCAATCACCCCCGCTTCTCTTCGATTTTATCCGTGTTTGGTTCACACGTTAACGTGCATATCGTTCGTCTCTTCGCTTTATATGTATAAGTAGTATATATAT